ACACACACACACACACACACACACACACACACACACACACACACACATACCTGTATTATACATAGATTTAGTTGGGTGGGTCGTTAAACAAGTCAGCTTAGAGGAAGTCAAAGTGACCCACAGGGAAAGGAAGAAGAGGAGCATAATTAGGGACATAATTGGGATCTCTGGGGATGGAGTGTCAACAGTAAATCCATTGCATATAGTCGCAATAAATGATAAACTAGCAGAATTAGTAATCCAAGTAAAAGGAATTTTGAAAGAAATGAGTGCTAACACCAATATGGGAACGTAAGCTGGGGACATGACCAAAAGCATCTCTTGCAGTGAAGAAAATGGGTAGTCCTGATGTCTGCATTGATATTCATTTGAACAAGGCTGTTAGGGCTAAGGGTGATAGGAATGTCTGATATTGCATTCATGTGCATTCATCCAGAAAGGACAATGATGATGGGAACCCCCCTAATAAACTCTATAAGTTGGTAACAAATGTTCCTGTCACATCTTCCAAAGGTTTGCCAACAGTCAATGTTGATTAAAACTACACTGTAAATGCTTTTTAAAAATAAACCACAAAATGTGAAAAGTAAAGAGAGGGGTCTGGGCCTGATGAACAATGTTAACCGAAATCCCCAGCACGTGTTTAAAATAAAAAAGGGGGGTTTAGGACTCTTGTGGTGCAACATTAACGTTCCTGTCTTTGGACTAGGAGGTCCAGGTTCAAGTCCCTGTTCTGGTGGTGTTTTATAACACATCTGAATATATTAGATGTTTTTTTAAATGAGGGGAGTTCTGGTGGGCAGTGTTTGTAATTGTTATTTGGTTAATGAGTTAATTGGGTGATTTGATGATGGGTTTTTCAAAATTAAAAGAAAACCTAAATTCTTTGGTTATTATTTTAATTGCTACTGGGTATTATAAATATTTTTAAAAAGCTGGATAAGGGAAGGATCCAGAAGGGAAAGGTGGAAACTGGTATTTGTGCTAAACTGTAGATTTACAACAAAACCCTTGTAAATCTCTGAAAGGCTTTTGCTGTTGAATTCAACGTATGAATATCAATCTTATACAATTCACACTGATGTTCACAATAACACAGGCATTACTGAAGTATAGGACCTCATTATATCCCATTGTTAAACTTTCATGATCTTCAGACAACTTCTGCCATGTTAATATGAATATAGAAGGTTGAGGTTATGCTGTACACAAAGGCTATTTGAAAAGAATACTCACCTTTTCCAGATCCCACAGAGTCCCTTTAACTGCGGGATTAGACAGCAGTGTCACTACATCTTCTGAGCACAGAACTGGCTTCTGCAGGGAGGAATAACAATGATTCATAATCAGCTGATTCCAGACACATAATCAACTCTGTTACATTTCATTCACAACAACCCAATCCCCAATTTTCTCACAACTTTCTGGAAAATACAGATTGTTATCAAGAGTACAGACCTGAGATCTGTTCATTTTCTAGAGGGACCAGACTTGATTCTGTCTACATCCGAAACAAGATTTCCCAGAGAGTGATGCCGTGACATGGCAGATTCTTCCTCTGCAAAGCCAAAGGCTTTGAGCTCAATCAGAACTCCTTCTATCACTCCAAAGCATTATCCAAATGAAGGTACAAAATAAGATTGATGGTTAATGTACCACAATAGGGAAGGATTCACATACATAGACTGAGGTAGGTTGGGATGGTGTACTGGCCATATCATTGGACCAGTAACCCAGAGACCTGCACTAATAACCCAGAAAACCTCAGCTTAAATTCCATAGTGCCTGTTGAGAATTCCAATCTGTTTCAAAAACTAGGAATCAAAAAAAAACTGGGATCAGTAAAAGTGACTTGGCCATTGTTAGATTGTTATAAAAAGCCAACAGGTTCACAAATGAGCTTTAGGCAAGGAAATCTACCATCTTTACTGGTTTATATGTAACTTATGGCATATGTGCTATGCCTATGGCAACATAATATAGTTGACTGTTAAGTAGGCTCTTAAGTGACCTAGCAAACCACTTGGTGTATCAAAAATATCCAAGAAAGTTCACCACCTACTTCTAAGGGTAACTAGTGAAGTACAATCAATGCCAGCCTTGCCAGCAGTGCCACATCAGAGAATGAATAAAAGTCATTGAGAGTTCCTTCTAAGCCATCAGTCTTAAAATGGAGACAAAAGCATGGAGTTTGTGCTATTGGCTGTGGGAGCTTGTAACTGGGACCCAATGCAATATAGCCCCGTGGCTCATTGCCTCAGTCTTGCTGGTCCGTAAACTATTTCCTGTTCAGATAGAATGATCAACCTTGAGGTGTTCCAGCCAGCTCCACATCAGCATGCTGAGAACCCTGGGATCTTGTTCTGCAGTCAGGCGACCCCATGCCCCTTTGTTCTCATTTAGCTCCATCTTCAAAAGAAGTAGAAAGAGAAAACTCATTAAACTCATAAATCCGTTAAGGGGTGGTCCAGGGAGTTAAAATGAGATGAACAGATAGATCAAGATAAAGTTAAAGAGAATCACAGAAAGAGAAGGAGAAAGATCTGGAGAGACACATAGACAGTAAATCAAGGAGAGGTAGAATAATGGGGAGAACATCCAGGGAGAAACACATACATAGAAAGTGGGAGAGAGTGATTCTAGAGAGAGTGGGATTAACCTAATGGTGAGAGGGAAGAAGACAGAGATGGAAGGCAATCTAAAGAGGAATAAGGGATGGACAACTAATGATGGACTTGACAGTGACATGTGCATCCCATGAAATAATTTTTAAAAAGTGATAGCAATAGAAACAGTGAAACAGACAGAAGTACAGGGAAGAGACAAGAGGAAGGAAAAAATAGAGGTAAAGATAAAGATACAAAGAGGGATTGAAACAGAGAAAGCATGATACAATGGAAGACACAAAACAAGAGCTAAAGAGTGACAGAGAAAGTGCAACTTTGAGACAGGAAGAAAAATGTCGGACATATAGATAGAAAGGCACTTGGAGTGAGACCGATGGAGATAGAGGCAGATAGAGTGAGAAATAGGAAGACAGTTAAAGATGGAGTCATCAGGACAGATACTTAGAAGGAACAGCAGACATGATGACAAAATAAATTAGAGTCAGACAGCAAGACAGAAACAGGAAGAGATGGGTATTTAATTACAATGATGGACACAGTGTAAGACAGATAGGTCAATTGAGACAGAAGGAATCTAACAGACAGGCAGAAAAAAGAGACAGCGTCAGCAAGATAGAAAGCATAAGAGTTATAAGACAGAAAGAAAAAGTAGCACACAAGTAGTTGATGCATACCACAATTGTTCAAAATTCATTCAAGGGATTCCAGTGTGTAGCTTAGGATGTTGCAAAATATTTTACAGCCTGCTTAATACATTCGAAGTGTAGTTATTGCACTAATGTAGGAATCATAGCAGCCAATGTTTGCAAATTGCAAAAATAACAATGAGATAGATAAACAGATAATTTGCTTTTAGATATTAACTGAGGAATGCATATAGGCCAGGCAAACATGGACACTTCTTCAAAGTAGCAACATGGGGTCTGTTCTGCCCACCTGAGAGGCCAAACAAGGCTTTGGTTTAATGTCTTATCGAAAACAGAGTGCCTAAATGCCTATGCACCTATGACAGTGGAGCTTTCCCTTAATAAGGCACTGCAAGTGTGTGGCTAGATTTTGTGCTCAAGTCTGTGGTTAGAACTTGATCCGCAACATTCAGACGCAAGTGTGCTCAATTCCAATAGCGACTAAACTTCAAAGTACTTCTTTGGCTATATAGTAACTTGGAAATTCCTGACCAGTGTACTATCAGAAACAGATTATCCAATTATTTATCACATTGCCATTTGCAGAACCTTACTGTTGACAAATTGGTTGCTGTATTTCCTACATAGCATCATGAAATACTTTACATCTATGTGAGAGGGCAGACAGGCTTAGCTTACTGTTTCATTTGATAAATAGCACTTCTGCCTGCGCAGATTTCTTTCAGTACTGTATTGGAAATGGGTGAGTAGATTTGTGTTCAAGCGTGTGGTGTGAGATTTGAACCCACAACTTTCTGATTCAGACACGAGTGCAAAAAACATGATAGTCATCAATAAATCCAGCAGAGAATTTAGAAGAAAATTATTTACCAGAAAGTGATTTGAATGTCAAACTTGCTGCCATATGGAGCAATTGGGAAAAATAACATGTATTTAAGCTAGAGAATCTGCTAAGGAATAAAGATGTGCTGATTGGCTGAATGAACTAGAATGAGAGGAGGCTCAAGAGGAGCACTGCTGTATTTGTTGAACCTAGCAATGTGTTTCTGTGCTGTAAATAATAGAACCCTTACAGTGTGGAAGCAGGCTTTTTGGCCCATTGGATCTGCCTTGACCCTCCCAACCACAATCCCAACCCTACTCTTTAACTCTGCATTCCCCACTAATCCACCTAGACTACACATTCCTGCATACTATGGGCAATTGAGCATGGTTAATCCACTTCACCTGCACATCCTTGGACTGTGGGAGGACACCCACACAGACAAAGGGAGAACGTGCAAACTCTACACAGGCAGTTACCTGAGGCAGGAAGCGAACCCAGGTCCTGGTGCTGTGAAGCAGCAGTGCTAACCACTGAGCCACCATGCCACCCTTTGTAAATGGGTCAAGGAGGTTGGTTAAGGGAAGAATTTCTCTTCTGAATCCTGTTTGTTTGGTTATTTTCAAACAGATCACATCAAAACTGATCATATATCCACGCTTCTAACAGGGCTGGAATTACATCTGTCAGAAGGAAATGGATGCCTTCTAAGCATTCCTTTCATCATAGCTGTACCTGTTCTATAGCTCTCAAAAAGAAGGATGTGGGCCACAACTGGATGAAAAGGTTAGGGCAGCGGTGAGCAGATACATGGAAATTACTAGACACAAAAAAAAACCCGGCCTATCTGGTTCACCTTCTTCCATCTTGATAGCTAATGGTATTGCTGATAAATTAGTCATACCCTGGATCCCAAAGTGCCATTTTATACAAGAATTCAATCTAATTTTGACTTTAAATAACACAACAGTCCCATAACAGTAAGCGTGATTGTGACTCATTACCTTCCAGAGACGGACTTTCACCAACAAGTCGTTGTCCATTGGTGAATGCTCTGACATTGCCCTGGCAACCTCTTCCAGGAGATGCCCATGTTTATTCATTTTTCTGCCTGATTCTTTTACTGATTGGCTCCAATGGACATTGCTCTACAGAGTAAAACAAAATAAGAGTAAAGTGACAGACTCTTGTCATTGTTCTTCATTTGTGACCTAATGTATAAGAAGCATCCAGACCCCTCACCAGTGGCTAAAATTAGGGATGGGTTGGCATCCATTTGTCAAAAAGCTTTTTACACTTCGAGTGATGCAGATGTGGGCCAACTGCAAATTCTGACCCTCCATCAATAGAATAGCTAGGGCCCATTCCCAGAGTATCATTCTCAGAAGCAGCGATGCATTCTGAGGATGACAGTTGGGAAATCCAAATACACATACAAAAGAAAACCAGGGGCTTCTGGACAGTGATTTTCCAGTCAAAGTGTCCTTAGCATCACTCCCCAGAGAAGCAAATGCCGGAGAGTGTCAGAATGTTGTCGATTCAGGCTCCACTCCAGGCAGTACTGAGGGAGTACTGCAGTACTGGAAATGAACATCTTTCAGTCGAGGTATACAAATGAGGAGTGGCAGTCTGCTACTGCCCCATTGACCCTGCTCCACCATTAAATAACGTCATGGCTGATCCGATTGTAACATCAAATCTACATTCCTACCTACCCCTGATAATGTTCTAACCCTTTGCTCACCAAGAATCCATCTACCTCTGCTGTAAAAATATTCAAAAAGACCCTGCATCCACCACCTTGCTGGGAAGAGAGTTCCAAAGAATCTGGATCCTCTGTGAGAAAAAAAATGTTTACCTCATCTCAGTGTTAAATGGACAACCTCTTATTTTTAAACAGGGGCCTTTAGTTCCAGATTTCCCCATAAAAGGAAACATCCTCTCTCTAAACACATACCCTGTCAAGATCTCTCAGGATCTTAAATGTTTCAATCACGTCTTCTCTTATACTTTTTAAAATCCATCAGTTCAAGTCTAGCTTTTCCAACCATTTTTCATAAGAGGGGAAATTTATCAGTCATTCCAGATGATCATCTGGTAAATTTTCTCTGAACTGCTTCCAATACACTTAAATTCTATTGACAAATTGGTTGCTGCATTTCCAACATAGTATCATGAAAAACTTTACATCAATGTGGGAGGGCAAACAGGCTTAGCTTACAGTTTCATTTGATAATTAACACTTCTGGCTGTCCACTTTTCTCTCAGTACTGTACTGGAAGTGTGTGAGTAGATTTCAAGCTTAAGCGTGTGGTGTGGGACTTGGACCCACAACCTTCTGACTCAGACATGAGTTTTAAAATCATGATAGTCATCAATAAATCCAGCAGAGAATTTAGGAGAAATGTTTTCACCATTAGAATGTAAGACTTGTTGCCATATGGAGCAACTGTGAAGTCAAACAGCTGACCAAGGCTGTATGTCATACTCCAAATTTGAGCTCATTTGTATAACTGTGGCATAACCTCCCCAATTAAGCAGTCTCCTCTAGGTAAACAAACTAAAGTAAATATAAGGTAGAAGGAAAGAGCAGACAGAATTTGTGTCTGGTGTGATATTGATGTGTATCGCTACACCTTAATTTGATGCCAGTCCATACCTTTGTTGAGGTTGTAGGCAAAAGGCCGGTGTTGGTCAGTAAAGAGTTCCCTTGCCTTGCTAGCTTGAATCCTGCTACATGGTCAGTCTGCACCGTGTTTCTGTCTCTAACAAAGTTCTCCTTCCCCTCATAGCTGAAAGAACGTTTCACTGGATTGGTAGGCCCACTGAAGACAAGTTCCAAAGCCGCAGCTCGACGTTGACTCACTGGCAAAGGTTGCTGTGTACAGGTGCCCTTAAATAAGAATTTAACAACAAATGAGAATTTACTCACTCAACACATGTGGGTTGGTGGCACTAGGAGCATTAAATTGTATGCAGCTTACATCTGTTCCTACTCCATGGCAATGTTAAAATGAACATCCAGAAAATGACATAACTACCTGGTTCCTAAAAGTGACCACTACTCCTGTTAACCAAAATAAACAATCAGGAAGCTTTTTACTTTTTACTTGGGTAGTCTTGGACCTTAGCTACACCGTTTTAGAAATATCAAGAGTTTAATTGACACAGACTGACAAAAGACTACTTTGTCTCGCAACTTTATCCTGTATCAGCTCATGTACATTTTACTTGATCACAATTTCTACCCACATAGTCAATGTCTTTCAACAGCTTATCCACACTCCACCCAGTCATGTACTCTATCTTAGTTTCCTTCCACAACCCATTTACATTCGTACGTATTTGACCCATATTTAAATCTCCTTACTATAGCAGATTCTGTATGTGACAAAATTCTATAAATAAACCCCACCAAAAACAATATCTGATCAGGTTCCACTCCCTGTTACTTTCCTTGTTACTTTCTACAAATCCTAGAATACAGCCAGCTCTTGACAGGGTTACCTGTGTTTGATGTGTGCAGATGATTCCAGATAGATTGGAATCGCTGACAGTCCGCAATAATCTTGGCATCATTCTGGGTTGAGCCTTTGCATCCCAAGCAGGCAAAGAAGCCTGATCAAATAAGCCAGCTGCAGAGGTAGGATGCCTCAGTGAATTGTCAGGGTCTTCTGGCTCCTGGTTTGCTAAGAGAAATTCTGGTGAGTTAATGAAGGAAGTGATAGTTTCTCTGATGTGCAGGGTTAGTGTGCGGTCAATCACTTCCCTTTGTACCTCCAGCTGTACCATGGAGGAGTCGTCCTTGTCAAATGCTACCTGCAGAAGCCTCTTGCAGATGAAGTCCACTATTTTGGGCACGTGTTTGAGATGCCGGGCCTCATATCCATGCAGGAGATGCTGTTGGCGGTAGAGGTACTGCTTCAAGGTGATAGGGTGGGCATGCAAACTCACATCGGTGAATATCGTCCTGTGAGAGTCTACAAACTGGGCAAAGTCATAAACTAAGTTAATCTGAGTGCGGGTCTGGATGGAGCAAGGACGTTTGATCCGGACAAAGTGTATGGCTTCACTGGGACTGACCCGTGTGGCGTAAACCAGGTAACAGGCGATCAGGACTCCTATCAGAAAGCAAGGAAATGAATAGTGAATTGCTCTTACTTTGGGTATACTTTTTGGGCTGAGTGAAAACAAAAGAAAAATCACATTGAAATACCACCTTTAACTTAGTAAAATATCTTCATGTGCTTCACAAGAAAGACTATCAAACAAGATAATTGTTTAGAGACATTCAGGCAGATGACCAGAAATTTGGTCAAAGGGATGAACTGTAAGGAAAGGAGGGGTAGAGAGGTCAGGAAGTAATTTCAGAATTTAAGGCCAGTGCATGTGAAGACACGACCAGCAGTACAGAAATGATGGAAGTCGGAGTTGAAGAATGAAATATTTTTCATGTCTTTGAACCCACTGCATACTTCCCTTTTCTGGCTACAAATGCTGAATGACCAAAGTACTGTCAGAAATTTCCTTTTCATAAGTCTGCCTTGTTAAGTGTAGCCAGATGTCAACAGAAAAGTAATTGTTAAGTATTGGACTGAAACTGCTCCGAACTTATCCACACAATACACTTCTCCTACATTGTTCAATTGGTCACTTCTTCAAAAGACCACCATTTGTTAAACAATAACTAGTTTTTAGCAAAAGTTCAACAATGTTATCCCAAATTGAAAATAAATGATCAATCTATATAAAACTTCAGTATGACCACAGTTAGAGTGGTGTGAGGAGCCTACTGCTCCAAACATTAGAGGGGAAGTTGAAGCAATAAAGAGAATAGAACATGGATTCAAGGGCATGCTGCCTGGTGTAAAGAAATACAAATATGAATAATGCCTTGAAGAAATGGGGCTCTTCTGCTTGAATCAAGTTGGGTAGAGGGTGATTGATGGATGTCTTTAGTGTTATGAAGGAATGTGATACAGCAGATAGAAACAGACTCTTTCCATTGATTGAGGGTGTCTTCAATGAGGATATACAAATTTAAGATTAAATGTAGGAGATTTAGCACAAAGAGCAGATGGATTTATTTTATACAGAGCATTAGTTATTATATCAGAGACCATTTCAATATTTAAGAACAGATTAAGACTGTTGTTTGAAGTAAGGTGAAATAAAAGGACAGGAGAACATGGGATTGGTACAATTTTTCATGTGGAGGATGTACATTAGTGAAGACTGGATCATGGAATCTAAGATTAAACATAGAACTGTGGATACTGGAGATCTGAAACAAAAACAGAAACCACTGAAATCAGCAGTTCTGGCAGCATCTGTGGGAAAAAAGCAGAGTTAACATTTCAAGTCCGGTAATTCTTCATCATCCAGTTCTCATGCTGCCAGACCTGCTGAGTTTCGCCAGCAATTTCTATTTTTATATCATGGATTCTAATATTTTGCTCATGACTAACGTTAGAGTCATCAAGTTTACCCTCTCTTTTCTTGAATAAGTGTGACCAGAATTCTGATCTCTTTTACCACTTACAACCACCAGGTTCCATCAACTGAGCCACTAGGAGTTCTTTACATTTCTTCAGAATTAATTCAAGCTACCTACATTAAAATAGGACAGATAGAAACTTGGCACTAAATGTTTGCTCCTAACCAGAATTACACGCTAAAATTCAATCAGCTATTACTTTCAATACCCATAGTAATAAAACATGGCATGAGCCACATCATCACACAGATGGTAGTGATTCGGGAGAGACCCATATTCTGACAGCAATTAGGAATGAGGAATAAACGCTGTCCTTGTCACATCTGAGAGGAAGGAAAGAATAGGTGTTAAATAATATCAGTGAATCCACTGTCTTCAGTTATAAGGAGAAAGTGAATCTGTGACTATTTGTGATAAAACAATACAAGTAATCAAACAGTTTACTTGACCAGCTTCAAGTCAGGGGGTTTGTTATCTCAGTTGGCTGCTGATTTGTGATGCTAACAGCATGAGTTCAATTCCTGCACCAGCTGAGGTTACCATGAAGGACTCTATTTTTCAACCCTCCCCTCACCTCAGGCATGATGACCCGCAGTTTAAACCACCACCAATTGTCTCTCGCTGATGAGAGAGCAGCGCTATGGTCTGGTAGGACTGTACCTTTTACTTTAGTCTATATTATTAAAGAGAAAATAAAGTCTTTCATTCATTTTTTTCGCAACCTCAGGATCTTCGAAAGCATAGCCAATGAACTACTTTTATTGTTATTGCCATTGTAATGTAAGAAATGCAGCAACCAATTTTCTCACTGACAGCTCCCACAAACACCACTATGACAATAATCAGATTATATTTTTAAAATTATCTTTGTTAAGGAATAAACAGTGGCCAGGATGTCAAAGAGAATGCTCCTGTTCCTCCACAAACTACTATGAGATCTGTAACATCCACCTTAGAGGTTTCAGTTTAACGTTTCATCTGAAAAATGCCACCTCTGACAGTGCACCACTCTCTCTGAGTACACACTGGAAGATCAGCCCAGATACTGTGGTCAAATCTCTGGAGTAGGACTTGAACAGCAACCCAGTAACTTAGAGGCAAGGATGATACCAACACATCATTAACTAACATGAAGAGTAGAAATTCATTTAAGCCTTCAAATCTGTTCCACAATTCAGCTGCATAGTGGTTGTCTTGCATCCACCTGCCTTGCTCCTTATCCCTTAACACCCTCACACAACACAAAAAAATTTGTCCATCTCAGTGTGTGAACCAATTAACCATCGTCACTAACCTGGCCGCCACAACTACCCCAACAGAACTATCTACAGCCATTTGGTTGTGCAAAGGGATCAGTTTCTGATGTGAGATTCCACTCTATCTATGCCTTTCCAGATCTAAATGATCTGCTGTCTGTCCTCAGCAACCTGATAGAGGGACTGTTCTCCAGACAGACCTGTTCTTCCGAGCCCTGCATGACAATGCACAGCCACCTTCCCCTCCTGTATGGCAAACGATGTCACCTTCACTGCGTCCAACACACGAACCAGCGAGGAGACTCCAAAATCTGCCATTCCAAAGTTAAAGAAGTATACTGCAAATGAGAAAAGATGGATGGGAGTTATAGTAAACTGCAAAACAAAGTTTCTCTCTCCCTTCTTTGATACCAAACTGTGAAAATTCTTGCCTCAATACAATCATTCAAATATCGTTGCAGCTGTCAGTTGACCATGGCCTGTGTGTATGCAGCAATGACTAACCACAGCAGGCTACAAAAATCAGCTGCTTTCTCTCAGTCGCTATCAAATACAGAATTATACTCTTCAGCTCACGTTCACCCAGCATCAATTTAGCATACACACAAATTTACTAACTCACAGAACACTGTTAACACACTCACTGACAAACACATGTTTAGACTCACACAATCATGCTTACATGTCCTCAACCAACATCAGCAATATTTGGTTTATATGACTGCTTACCTCATTGTTACAGTGAGATCTTAATGTTTACCGTCTTTAGAGACAAGGTCAAATTAATTAACACTCTGAAATGTCTCTGACAAATTTGATAAGATTCCATTTGGCACCTGTCTTTCTTTTCTTCGTTCTTTCTAACTCTTCCTCATTTTCTTTTTTCTCCCTTTTCTCTCTCTATTTTCCTTTATTTATTATTCAAAAGCTAAACTGTGCAGCTGATAATTGGACAGCCTTTAGGACTGATAGGGTCCAGGTGCACAGCAAATATCGGTGCACACCGGGAGTCATTTAATTTGGGAGGATTTGAGTCTGTTAAGACACTGAATTAATGCAATATTTTGCACACTCATTAAAAAATTAATAAATATAACAATAATTTATAAGTCATGCATTCCTGGTAATCAACCAACCTCAACCTGAGTCCCTATCTCCCAGACACTGGGAATGTGATAGCTAGCTCTGTGTATTCCATTCCTCAGACATGAACACTTACTGCTGAGCCAAGTGTAAATAAAAACAGTGATCTTTAATTATAGACGGGGAGATTACACAGTGTCAGCTTGTAAATGAAGCCCACAGGGTCTTTCTACCAACTGATTGTGAAGTGAGAGGGGAGAGATTCAGCACAGAGGAATCATGCTTCTTTTTGTAATCATCAAAACAAATTACTACTGGGAAATAAACACTTCACATTCCAGGTGTCCAGTGACCCATCAAACACTCCAAGGACAGATACAGCATGTGCTGATTACAGAACAAATCTGCATTTTTACTGTTCCACTGAACACACCCAGGGCATATTGTCTTGGAATCCAATGACGTTGTGCGACTTTACAAAGACTTTAAACTCTGCCAATGCCATATTGCTATACTAGCAATAAGCACCTGTCAATTCTGAATAAAACCGTTCAAAGCCGTTATTATCATATGCAGTTGCCCTCAATTAAACTAACAGTGGGCCAGCTAAATTCAGAAAATGTAGCTAACACAACATAACATGTTGAACAGGGGTGTACAAAGTTAGAAGTCACACGACACCAGGTAATAGTCCAACAGATTTATTTGAAATGACAAGCTTTCAGAGCTTAGCCCCCTTCATCAGGTGAGGTGAAATGAAGTACGAAGAGCACAGAATTTATAGGCAGAGAGATCAAGGACAGAGAGATGAAAAGGATGCCATGAGCCATGGTATATTGGCGAGACCATGCAGACACTATGACAATGGATGAATGGACACCACGCAACAGTCACCGGACAGAGATGTTCCCTCCCTGTCAGGGAACACTTCAGCGGTGAAGGGCATTCAGCCTCCGTTCTTCAGGTAAGCGTCCCCTAAGGCATACTTCAAGATACACAACAACACTGAATCACCGAGCAGAAACTGAAAGCCCCCAAGTTCCACACCCCGTGATCTTGGGTTCATGTCATGCTACATGTGATCCTACCATACTGTTCTGTATCTGTAAAATCTTCTTTACTGTCCTGTTATGATACCACTACCTTGATAACTTGTTATGATCTCTCTACCTTAATTAGTTTGTACAGTTTTGGATTACTTGTTACTTTGGTTAGACCCTCGGCATGCGACTCTTATACCTATCATGTTTTTCCGGTCATTCGGTTTGTCCCGAGCACACCACCTTATTTTTTATTTTTTGTAATTATCTCTCTGCCTCAAATAATTGGATTATAGATCATCCCCTTCAGTTACTATTCAGCTGTTGACACTTTACTCACACCATCTAACACTTTTAATCACCTGCAGAGACTTATTATTCAACACTGCACTCACACCATTTGTATGATCTTATGCTCTCTCCTCCTATAAATTCTGAGTTCCGCACGCTTCTCTCTCACTTCACCTAATGAAGGGGGCTATGCTCTGAAAGCCTGTCATTTCAAATAAACCTGCTGAACTATAACCTGGTGTTGCGTGACTTCTGATTTTGTGTACAACATAACAGGCAGGCTTTAAAAGGGTCATCACCAAGTACAGCATTGTTCAATTTCAGGTGGGCTTTTCCCTGTGCTCAGGTCTGCTGATGTTGACGCCTACACTATTGAATCTTGGTCCTATCCGACTAGCACAGTGAGCTTCCAATAAACTAATCAGTCAGACTTAAGACACTGTAAGTGAGTTTCTCAATTTAGTCCTAATTATAAGGAAAAGACTTGAATTTACACAATGCCTTTTACATCTTCAGGATGTCTGAAAATGACAATCGATGAATTACCATTGATCAGTAATCATTGTAGGAGTCTGGAGAAACACAGCAGCCAAATTGTGTACAACAGTGAGGTAGCTGGCCAGTTGGATTATTTCAGTGATATTGGCTGACAATGAATGTTAACCAGAAGACTGGAAGAACGTTTTTGCTGTTCTTGAAATAGTTCTATGAGAGCACAGATGGTGCTTCACTTTATTATCTTGCTCAAAAGATGACATCTCTGACAGTGCAACAGTCCCTGCATACGGCATTGAGGATGTCAACTGAGAACATGTGCTCTACCTCTTGCATGGGGCTTAAACCTGTGACCTTCCAATTTAGAGGCAAGACTGATATCAAATAATCCAAACATACATCTATTTATGGATGCATGTTTCTGCTAGAGTTCAAGAAGTGGTTTGAGACTAACCAAATTAATTTCATATCACATTGTTAGAGATGAAGCTCTTAAAATGTATAAAGTGAATCTGACATTCCCTGAAATAAACCTAAACCAAATTAATATTAAAAGAGATAAATCTTTCCACCAGACCTCATATTCATCACATGGAAACATTTTAATAGACAGTATCATATATGCATATATCATATATTAGGAAGGGTCACCGGACCCAAAACGTTAACTCTGTTTTTTCCATCACAGATGCTGCCAGACCTGCTGAGCTTTTCCAGCAACTTTCTTTTTGTTCCTGATTTACAGCATCTGCAGTTCTTTCGGTTTTTATCATATGTGCATGTAGTGGCAGGTTGTCATGGTTACAGTTCTTCACATTAAAGCTAAACCAATAGGTTTGTTGTGTGGGATCCAATAGTTCCCAATGTTATAAGAGGGGAGACTTACTCAGTGGGACCACAGTGCAAAGGTACATAGCTGGGATGGGAGGACAATGAGAATTAATTCATGCTGCCTTCAAATACTCAGCAAACCAAGAATGGTTCATCTAGTGTCTATTGTCCATGCGCATGTTTGGGGCTAATCTGTCAGACAACAAGCAACAAACATACTTATCTTTGTCCACATCTAGAATTTGTTAACAATCTTATTTCATTTTCCGAAGTCATAAGGTTATCAGCCTGGGTGATGGGACTTACTATTATTCTCCATGAAGGTCTCCGGTAAGTATGAAAATCCACTCTTCAATTCCAAAGGGTCTCCACAATGATCATGCTCACCAGATACTTGCAGGTTTATCACTGACTTAATATTTAATCTGTGGAAAGAAAGGATGTATCTTTGGTTCTTACGGTTGTGGCTGTGGTGTATTCAAATAACTGTGCATTCTTCTCTGCCCTGAGTTCCTCCACCATCTCCTATTGCCTCTTCAATGCTATTGGGTGGAACTGTACTCTCTGTGTTCTATTGTTATCAATGTAGGTAAAGCATCATCTTATTGGCTTCTCTTCTCACTTCTTCCCCAAGGTATATTCCTAGCCCATCCTATTTCTCAGCCCTCTGCTGTCCCTCATTGATGTTATCTAAAAGCGTAGCATTAGTTTCCACATGCAGGCTGATGACTCCCTGCTCTACCTCAGTATTAACTCTCTCTACCCTGTTGTCCCTAATTTGTCAGATTGCTTATTCAACATCCAGTATTGGAGAAGCAGAAACTTCTTCCAACTTAATACAGGGAAGCCTGTAGGCAAAGACTTTGATTCTTGCACAGAAACCGTGCCATAGCCAACACTTCCATTCTTCTTCTGAGCAACTGTTTGTAACTGAACCAGACAATTCACGATATTGGTGTCAGATTTGTCACAATGACATAAAATACAAATTATTGATCTTTGAATTCCATGAATTGATTTAACACTTTTGAGCTTTAAACAAGGAACCAAAGCACTGATTTTATATATCATGGATACTCAAAGGACTGTAAATTTTGTATTCTTTTATGTGTTTCTTTGTACTGGAGAAAGACTCTGGCTGTCCAAGGGTGATATATATGCTTGATATAGGGGCTTTATTATTTTTTTCAGTGTTCGAAGATAATAAATTTGCTCTTTCTTTAACGCAAGAAAACTTGTAATTGGCTCCTCATCAATTACAATAAAACAGTTATTACTTTTTAATGGAACTAAAAAGAACTTAAATATTTGTTGTGACTAACCTAGAAGCTTGGAAAAAAGGCTGAGCTAGACTCTGAAATAAATGACCATGGGTCATCACAAAGTTCACCCATTTCCATGTCCATGCCATTGCCTGAATCTGCCCTATGTCTGCTCATATATTACTGAACTCTTATTCATACTTTTGTTATGTTTGAAATTTGACCATTCCCATCTATCCAGGACCAGTTTCACACATTAAACCATCCATAAACTTTAAGTCATTCAGAAATTATCTGTACATGTCCTCATTCACACCATGTTCTGTTCCCGATCACACCTCTCCTTACTGGCTTCTTTTGCTCCTAGTTAAACAGCAAATTATTTTAAAACCTTCATCTTTGTTATCAAATTCCTCATTTTTTCACCCCTTCCTATCTCCAATTGCCTCCAGTCCTAGAATTGCGTGTTATACCTGCTCTCATCAAACTCTGGCTCCTTTAGCATGAAAAAGATTTGAGGCAATCAATTGGTTTGCTACCAATACCAGTTATCAGCAGCTGACACAGTGCTTTCCATGAACACAAGTTACTCTGATGCATTCTCTAAAGATTGCATTTCTAATGAGGCCACTGTTAACGAGGAACTGAATTTCCATTCAGAATCAGTCAGACACCATGGTGTTCCTACTGTGTCTCCTACCCTTTGAACTGTTTGATGATGTTGAACTTCTTAATAAGCTGTGTGGATGGTCTTGCCATTGCCAAGATATCATCAGTGACCCTGGAAAGGAAGACAGTAGAGACAAAGAAAGGCGCATCAACCCCATCTTTCTTTTATTATTATTATCCATTTACAAGTTTTCAAAGTCAAGGCTGGTATTTATCATTTGTCCCTAGTTTTCCTTTGAGAATGAGCTGCTTAGCCATTTCATACATTACAGTAATGTCTGCACTACAAAATGCTTCATTAGCTGTAATATGCTTGAAGACATCTTGTAATTACAAAAGAACTATATAAATGTAAGTCTTTCTCTTCTTTCTTTTTAGAGTCATAGAATCATACAGCACAGAAACAGACCCTTCAGTCTAACCAGTCCGTGCCAAACAGAATCCCAAACTAAACTAGTCCCACCTGCCTGCTCCTGGCCCATATCCCTCCAAACCTTTCCTGTTCATGTACTTATCCAAATGTCTTTTAAACGTTGTAATTGTAACCACCTCCACCACTTCCTTAGGAAGTTCATTCCACATGCAAACCACCCTCTTTGTAAAGAATTTGCCCCTCATGTCTTTTTTAAACCTCTCTCCTCTCACCTTAAAAATGTGCCCCCTAGTTTAGAAATCCCCCATCCTGGGGAAAAGGCAACTACCATTAGCCTTAGCTATAACCCTCATTATTTTATAAACTTCGATATACCTCTCCTGTCCCAGTCTATCCAATCTTTCTTTATAACTTGGACCTTCCTTACCCAGCAACAACCTGGTAAATCCCTTCTGAACCGTCTCCAGCTTAATATTATTCTTCTTATAACTGGGCGACCAGAACTGGACACAGTATTCCAGATGAGGCCTTTTACAACCTCAATGTGACTTCC